GTCTGTGCAGCCAAAGACAGAACAGTTAGCATGTTTGCTCAAACTTTCGCAATGGGATTAGAGCTGGTACACCGTTGTCGCTTGCGAAAACACAACGCTGGGTGTGTACATTTACAGATTAAGGGGTGGAAATATTACAATGAGATCCCTTTGCGATGTCAACAAGGGCGCGAAATCAGACGCGCTCGTTTTCTCAGACGCTTGCAGAAAAAGGCTTACCAAAACAAAGTTACTGGGTTATCTTTTTCACGTTTCCTTGGTTGGTAGATGCACCGGGGACCTGATTATAGCACTTAAAACCTGGAAAAGTCAGACTTTCATGATATGTCACTTTTAAGACTGAAAATTCAGCTTTGTCATCACAGGAATAATCACATTTAAAAAATTATAATAATGAAATAGAAAACAGTCATTTTAAATTGTAATAATATTCTACAATGTTACTGTTTTTACTCTAGTTTGACCAAATACATGCAGTCTTAGTGAGCATAAGAGATTTCTTTCAAAAACATTAAAAATCATACCAATCATAAACTTTTGAATGGTAGTGTATGTAACTCTGGATTCATGAAAAATGCACATGCTTAGATGAATGCAAAAAGGTGTTTCCTCATTCTTAGGCATTGCTCCTGTCAGTGATGTCAGAATATTTTTGGAAATCCCCCCTTGCACTAAGATACCAACTGTCCACTAGCACGTGAAATTTTTATCACTCAACATTCTCACTATTACCAGTCATTTCTTTCACATATTTTCCTCCTGCATATTTTCATTTACAGTATATCATACTAATTATATTATACCCATAATTACACTTTCATTGTCAAAAATGTCATGTCTACCCTGTTGTTGTTTTTTTTGTTTTTTTTGATCGCCTTACAACCCATCCAAGCTGCATTGTTATTCGAGTCATGCCTGGCTAGTCTTAACTGATTGAGCTGATCACCCTTGCCTTACGTGTAGGGACTTTGTATTTTTAGCTTTTTAGCATACCAGAGGAGTGCTGTCATCTTTCGCTTCATGACTGCTTTTGCAAATGCACTGCAGGAATGTATTGGCATTTTTAGATCTTAGTTAAACACATTCTGTGTTAAACACATTCCCAGAAAAACACACTCAAATAAAACAAACATGCAATCGACCCATGCACACTGTACTTTTTAGGTAGAGTGATCAATTAATCTTTGATTTAATGTCCTAGTGCAAGCTGTTTCTTATGGTTTACTTATAAGGTGTAAAACCAATGCACTAATTATCACTCATCTAAGACCCTTGATGAATCTCAGTTGTTTCAATAATCTAATGTCTATGAGGATAGTATAATGGACTATTACTTACCCTTTTAAATATACTCTCATATACAAATATTAACTGGCCTTAAAATGTACTCAAAGTTACAATAATTACTTGAGCCAGTGATATTATTAATTTACATAGCATATTAAAATTAAATTAAAATTAAATTTATGCATTTAGCAGACGCTTTTATCCAAAGCGACTTACAGTGCATTCAGGCTATACATTTTTTACCAGTATGTATTATTATTATTATATTATCAGAAATTATGAAACAGGTCATACATGCACCTTTCACACGGAAGTGCAAATGTGGTGGAATCTTACTAGAATCTAAAATGGCAAGGAATTTGTGTAAATAACCACAGACATCTAAGACATCAAGGAAAAGAATCAACATGCATCACTTTTACCATGTTTGTAAGTCATTGCCAGTAAGGACCTGGTCGTTTCTGTGACCAAATTTTCCGTAAACCTAAAATATTTTTTCAACAAAGGGAGGACACATAACAAAAAACTCCACCTGCTTCAGTGACAACAGAAGCCTTCCTTCAAAATCATGACATGCATATTTGTGAAAACAGGACAGCAGTACAGAGGACACTGTTTTTACTGCGACACACACAATAGTTAAGGTAATCCATTTATGATGTATTGCAGGTCTACGGATTCAATGACTAAACCGATCTGATTTATTTGAGCACATTAAGAAATTACGGCTACACTACTTAATAAATTTTTGGCAATATGCATCTTTCTTGCAGTTTAAAGAATTAGACTGAAAAGCACCCAGTGCAAGCTTTTTTGGTTAGCTTTGGTTTTTCCAAATATCAATATTCCTAGATAGAATAATCATAATGAGCTGACTCATGCAGAATTGTACATTTAAAGAGATAAATCAAATAAAAAAAATTGTCATTATTTACTCACCCTCATGTAATTTTAAACCTGTATGACTTTTATTCTTCTGCGGAACACAAAAGAAGATATTTTGAAGAATGTTTTTTTCCAAACCAACCAATATTTTTCAAAATATCTACTTTTGTGTTTCACAAAATACAACACATAGGCTTGGAATGACATGAGGTGAGTAAATGTAAATCGAAAAATTTGAACTTATAGTTTAAATTCATAAACATACAAAATACAGCGATGTGGCTTTTTCTATGTTGTTTATTCTCGAGCACCAATCATTGCTTCAATATTATCTCATGTGTGTGATAAAAAAAAATTACAACACATATCATGTCTGTTTTAGCAGAGATTCAACATCAACCAAATGAACAGCAGACGTAAATCAGGTATGTCGGAAATCTATTTTAAACAATACAGACTGGCTGGAACCAGAATAGCCAGAGATTGGATTATAAAAAAATAATTTGTCTAATTAAAATTTTATTGTGAGAACCATTACAGATAGTGATGAGTGGTTAACTTCTGGTTAATTGTATTTACTCTTCTGCAACAGATTTAAATGCTTCATGTCACAATGAAGCAGCTGAGGTGGAGGAAGTGTGCACAGGTTTTCTAATAAAGTCCCCTCCTCCTAGACAGATAAAAAATACGGTATAACATTTGGATTTCACACAGAAATATCACCAGTTTATATGTATCATCTATGTATCTATCTAAGACGTTTTATCATTCTTTGCAGAAATCATGGAAGAAACGCTACTTTGTGCTTTCAAAGACAAACGACAGCTGCCATGAGCTAAAATACTACAAAACCACTGGGAGTGCCAAACCTATCAAATCTATACAAGCTTCCACGTAAGGCGAAAGCTGCTGATTTCTTTTCACATAATCAAAAAAGGTTTAGTATTATGTAGGGATATAATTATTTTTTCTATGTAGCATCACAATGCTGCAAGTGCATCCTCAAACAAATCCAGTTTTTGAATGGATCTGTAAAGCCTTCAAGTGCTCTCCATCCTCTGTGCTCTTCATGAAAGCAGAAAATCCAGGAGACAAGGTCCCAAGAGAATTTTTCTTCATTGGCAACAGCAGGTTTGTATGATTACCATTGCTGTACCATAATTCCCATGCTTAGCAAAAAGCTGCATTTAAAAAATGCAAATAATGGACAAAATAAATTAAGGTTAGCCCTTTTAGTGCTAATATATGGGATCTGTTGTTTTCAGTAAGGATGTGGATAGCTGGTTCAATGCTTTATTCGGGGCTATAAAGGTGAGACATTCTACTTTTTGCCTATGAGCTTAATAGCTTTAATTCAGTCATAATTCTCTTTGAAAAAAATCTTTTTTCTTATTTTTCTCGAAATTAAAGTTCATTTTTATCATTTTTAACAACTAATTATTAATCAATACAATTTCATGGGTCTTAAACAGTTCATTCTTCAAACTGTTTATAGAATAGCAAAATTGAGGCACAAACTGAACCTCAGAGCACGACAGAATCCAACTCCAATGACCAAAGCCCCTCTGACACTGAAGAGGTAATTCACAAACAATGCTTTCACATGCTTCTGTGTGACTTTGACTCAGTTCTCATAACTTTGCCTGAATTATTTCTGAGTTGTACCTCTCAATAACTGCAGAATGAAGTTGATAGTAAACCTCCACTGCCTCCAAGGAAGAAGTCAGCATCTGAAGATGTTCCCACCCAGCACGGTCAGTGTAGCCAATCTCCCAGAAGCAGCCCATCTGCAACACGGGTATGGCATAGTTAAATCCACAAACATACACTTTCACTTATAAAACCAAACACTTGCATCATAATTCAATATAACCACATACCTTTGGTTCAGGTGTATGAAAATCTGAAAGAAGAGGAACCACTGGATGAGACTGCAGTGGAAAGTAATGAGGACATGTCATCAGGGTATGACAAACTCTCTTTATGTATTTAAATCTACTTTACCTCAATTGAACCTGTTAGAGTTACACAGTGCTTATTTTTACCCTTAAAAATTTAACATTAATCTTTAGATTTGAATCCATTTGTGTCCTTCTTGAATATACAGAAGGTGGTATAACAGACCAATTTGTCTTTGATTTTGGCCTCATTTTATGCCTATCATTTACGGTTTAATGTTGCAATGTTCAAAAGCTTATTTATAGTCAAGTATCAAGTATCATTTTGCACAGTCATTTACAAATGTACTTTGTGTTCACACGAGTTTACCTATTGTTAGAAGGCTTGATTTTTCTTTTAGACTCTCAGGCTTTGAGAAAATGATAATTATTTGCTTTTCTCTCCAGGAAGAGTGTGACTGGTACATCTGAAGACAGTCTGTTGGATTGTGTCACAAAAGCCTTCAATGATATGAAGACACCACAAATATCCACTGAGTCAGATGGACAAAGGTAAAACAACTGACAAATTAAATTTCAACAGACTATTGCTAATTTCTGCATACTGCTATTTGTCACATTATGAACAATTTCTCAGGTTCCCTAGCCTAGAGAATAAAAAGCTTTGTGTAAAACCTTAAGGGATTGTTTTTACCTGAGATGTCACAAATCATGCATCACACTTTTCAAAAGTATCCAGCCGTGATCTTGCCCAACTAGTTATTATTACTCATATTACAAAGGCGAGTCAGAACTAATTTTGCAACCTTGTACCTGAGACCAACATCATTTTTAAACTATGTTTTGTAGTGTCTTAAACAGTTAAAATCTCACCTTTAAAAAAAATCAGCACCACCATAATGGGTCGTCCCTCATTGTCATTGTCATTTATGGAATTCAAGAAACCTCTTGCTTTGACTTCAATGGAAACTGTGCCTCCACTAAGCTGAACAGGTCAATTCCAGGCAAGAGGTGATTAGTACATCTGTAGAAGACCAATTCAATATAAAAACATATCCTAAACTGCAGAATTTAGTTGTCAAACAACCAGGGTTATGAAATTGTGGTTTTGGAATCGAATTACATTTTGAGTTACATGTTTTCCATTCCTCAGTGAAACGCACACCCTTATCGAGAAGGAAATCTGCATAAGTCATCATGATGCAAACATCTTGGTTATTTCAGAGAAGGAGGGAAAACCATGGTACGATTCTCACAGATAAATAAAAAATGTACTGGACATGTTGGGCTGAGCCCAGAAGCATCATATCCTTGTGTTCTATGGTTCATGCAAGTTTGTTTGGATTAATTTTTGCTATTATTTTCCATTTCTTTTAGTGTATCTAAATGTGGGGAGATTGAGGCTTCATCTCTGTTCCACAAGGGAGATCAGATCCTGGCTGTCAATGACCTGTTGACAGACACAGTGGAGGAGGTACAAACATACCTAAGAAAACTCAGCAAGAGCGAGGTAGTCATGAGTCGGGAGTACAAAAATGATTTTGTAAATGTAATCAGAGCTAAATGGCTATAGTTGAACTTGCACTTTTTTGCTCTCTTCAGGTAAAACTGACCATTCGAAGGCTCCCGGGCTCCATTCCTTTGAATTCTGAACCCTGCTGAACCTCATGCTGTGCTATGGTTCTTCTATGGGGAATAGCACTGTGCTGGCAATCAGTAGTCAAACAGAATGAGTTAAAAGTGCTGTAATGTAATATGACTTCTAGTCTCTCTTTTGGTGATTTCTGAAACCCTTCACTGACATTTATGATTTGTTAGTGCCAGATCGTACAGGACTGAATGTATTGCTTTTCACACAACCCTGAAGGGCATACAGGCTGTCAACAGTAAAACAAGTAGCTCTTGTTTTCTTTTGTGCACTGAGACTTGCTGAGCTTTTGTCATTCTAAAAATATTAATCACAGGAATGAATTTCTATACTTGTCATTTTGCACTATTCTGTACATCAGCAAGGTTGAGGTAATAGAAACATTAAAACAAGTTTAAATAGAACTTTCATCTATCAGTAAATGAATGATAGCACTAAGGTAGTATTTTTCTGATCATCTTAAAATACCTGTGAATCTGTGTACTGAAATTGCATTTAACTGCAGTATATTTTGTAGCCACATGGTGGCAGACTAACACAAACTGAATTGTATTAAAACTTGATCTTATATTCTTATAACCTGAATTTTGATTGCTCCTATTCAGCATATAAATTCACATCCAATTTTCTTTTATTATATTACTTTAGCAAAGAATGTTGTTTTATAAACTGACAGCTGCATTATTGCAGTTGCATTGAAACCTGTCATGTTGGTAGGAAACCCAAATGTATTTTTTTTTCTTCCCAAATTGAAACGAGGTTAAGATAGTATAATGTAATAAATGCATGTAAAAAACAATTTACTAAAGAACTGACACTGTTCGGCATGCAAATAACTTTTCTTATGAAAAAATATCTTTCATAAGAAAAGCATAAACATAAATATGACATAAAATGTGATTTAGAGAACAAGATCATTAATGAAACAAGTGTAAAGTGGATAGAATTTATTTCCTTTAGAAACACTTTAATATATAAAACCGTCAGAGTAAAAAAGGGCATATGTGGTCCATTCCTGCATTAGCCACCAGTAAGGGGAGCCATTCATAAAAGGCAACACTATTAACCATCACACAACCAGCACTTAAAAAGGCAGGCTGCAAGAAACACTTTTTTTTTTTTTTTTCAAATGTGAGAAGCAGTCCAAAACTCTCTTCATTTGACATGGTCCACTGATTAATCCTGGTCCAATCAATAAAGGCACCATTTGACTGTTTGGCCAAAGGTTGGATTGTGGATGTCAGTTTACTTTATTGCCTTGTTCCACAGCTTGAGTTTCTCAGGGCACATGATGCTGAGCTGAGGTTTCTGGGTTCAGTCTGCCACTCACGGAAAAAGCCCTCCATGGCTTTCCTGCTCCTCCAGCTGCCCACATTCACCGTGGGAATTATCTTTTTCGGCTGCAGCCACTGCACAAAACGCTTCAGCTCAAGAAAACTGCTGTGCTCACTGTAGGGAATACCTGGAACAAATAAGTATAGAGTAGGAAAGTATCTCTCAAAATCTTTTGAGTTGCTGGGAAAACCTATTTATGTCTGATCTCCTTGCTCAAAAGACCAACCATGATTTCTGCTGCTTAAGCAGAGTCACACTCTAGTAGAGGGCTGCATTGGGTTTGGGCTCCCACGGGACCCAACGCAAACCTCGTGGAAGCGGATGGTTTTACCTTTGCTGCGGGCGGGAGTGGGCGGTCAGAAAATTTCGCGGGAGACCCACAGGGAACGGTGGGATTTGGCGTGTAATAGAATGGAGTCAACTGAACACATTAAGTTAAGAAGAAAATTAAAGCGGCTGTTTACTTGACAAAAGCAAAGCAAGGCAAGTCAGACATCTGGAAACAATTTTCAATTGTCACTGAAAAAAATGGGTAAGAGTAAAACTGCGTAAGTTGCGATAAATGTGCAAAAGTGTTCGTTTACAACGGACATAAATCTGGCACCTCTGCTCTGAGGCGACATACCTATTTTCTAAGTTCTATGTGTTTATTTAATAAGTTAAAGTTATTATATATTGTGCTTTGGCTTATTTACTTAAACCGGTTTGTTAACAGTTAAACTGTTTTAGTTAATCCTTTGGTGCGTGTATCATGCAGTACGTTTAAAAACTGAGGTGCCGCTAGTTGTGGTTTTGTTTTAACGGTTAATCTTTTATAACGCTAATAAAAAAAAAATACCCAATGTTTTTGTCACATGTAGTGCTTTGGTTTAGCATTACTTCATCTTGTTTCATGTTTAATGACATCATCTTCTGAGAGATCATCATCTGAGAGAAAGTCCGTGGGAGCGGGCGTGAGTGGACACAAACATTGCAGGCATAGGCGGGAGTGGAACACGCAGGTTGCAGGAGCGGGCGGTCCTGGTCATAAATTCAGCGGGAGCGGGCTTAAGAAAACAGTCCCGCGCAGGGCTCTACACTCTAGCCTTTTGTATAATTATTTCCCTAATTATATAGTGTGTTTGTGTAAAGTAACAAGCACACATTCCCATTAATTCCCATGTTGGATGTCTCAGATTCCAGTGGAGCTTATGAAATAAGATGCGTCTACTGCTTGAGGCAGCACCTGATTGGGCTGCAGACCGCTGATATTAAGAAATTAAAACCCTGGGCTTGCAGAACCTGACATCTTGAGTTTTTCCTCTGGATCAAATCACATCTGCTGATTCTGTTAATACAGGGCATGCTGTTCTTAGCCTGAAACGACATTCAGCATTTCTAACAACTGCAGGAAGGGAGAAAAATCAATATAATGTAATTACATTCCACATACGAAGCCATTAGGTATAATCTTGTCAGTTAGTGGAACAGAATGACAAGGCTGTGTTGTGTCTACACTGAAAATCAGTTCAATGGAAAGCAATCATCTTTAAGATCTTATTAAGGAAGGGATGGTGTGACAGATATCAATAAAAAAATAGCACGTTTTCTGCATTTTTGTTTTATTGGTATAGACCTACCATTAAGCAAAATGGAGAAAACCTATTAAAGCGTCATAAAACGGTCCATCCTAGATGCAAGCAAATGGAGCAATATAAGGCGTTTTTATTCGCTTTTTCAAACGTCTTATTTCGATTTTGATTTAAAAGGATGACAAAAATACAAACTCATTTTGCTCAGGGCTCTTAAAGTCACCAGACAAAATAGAGGGTATTTTTTCCTCTTATAAAATCAAAATGCAAATACAACATTACAGAAACAACACAATTTGGTGTACATCTACTTCCCTTGATTAGGGTTTGTTTGGGCTTGCAATTTAAGTTTCAAGTGAAGCGACCCAATTTTCTAAAAATATTAAAAGTAAATGTAACCCTACATATGCGCTACTGGCTGATTTTGCCGAAAACCTTTCCTGTTAATGTCAGCATCCCAGACAGTCTCAGATATTTCAATTGTATTGTAATACTGCGCGTAAACACATGAAATAGCGAATGAGGCAAGTAAAATCATTATATTAAATCCTTTATAAATCTAGACTGACACATACCATAGATACTGATGTTCTCTTGAGTCTGAGGCTGGATGTCTTCCACCCTTACAGTTTGGCTGAAGGTCCAGCCTGTGGGCTTGAATGCCACTAGCTGGTCATACTGCCTGGAGAACTTATTCAAGTGTGTCCGCAGGTTCTGTACAGTTAAGAAAAAACTTCTGGTCATAAATATTTAGGCTGATTAGCTTGAGCTGTTGCTCGTTTTTAGTTACTTTGAATAAATATGTCTGCAAATGTAATGTGTAAATACGACTATACTCCTATTCAGAAGTTTTGGGAGAGTACGTTTTTTTTTTTTTTTTAGAAAGAATGCAGCAAAGACATTTATAACCATCAAAAGATTTCCATTACAAATAAAGGATTCTATTCCATTCTATTCAAAGTATCCCAGTTTCAACAAAAATATTAAGCAGCACAATTGTATTAAACATTGATAAGATACATCAAAATAGACAAGTTATTTAAAATTGTAATATTACTGTTTTAGTGCATTTTTGATCAAATAAATGGGTGTGCATAAGAGACTTTCAAAAGAAAAACAAAATCTTACTGACCCCAAACTTTTGAATGGTAGTATGTGTGACAAAAAGGGTAACTGAAGTCAAATGATGCCACATTGCAATCAGCTTCTTTCTTTCAATTTACATAATGACTATTCAATGTGGCTGCAAAAGAAAATGTGGTGCAATCTACAATCAACCTTGCCTTGCAATTTTTCCTCCATCCTGTCAGGGCCATTTAAACCCGTTTCTCATTGAGAACAACTCTGAAATTGCTTTGAATCAACATCTACATTGGCATGGGTGAGAAAAGTTGCTTATAATGGTTCAAGGCACATCATATAACTAATCTTTATTATCTGCAACAGTCTCATTAGAATTTACTTTCAGTCAGACTCAATCAGTGCTACCGCTGCCAGAACTGCTGCGCTGGCATTTGGTCTCTGTAATTCGAATCTTAAATTTTTTTCCTCTCGCATTAGCATAAATGCGCTGTCAAGGAAAATTAAAGATAACACTGAACGCTGCATGAATTTTAAACTCCAAATTGAATAAGTAAACATAGCCTCAATGATTGTGTTTAACATAATCAGCTCTTTTTATGCACTTATGAACTCAAAAAGCAAAAAA